CATCCTGATTCCTGTACTCGCATGCTGAGGCTCTGTGCCAGACAGTCCCTGTGCACGTGCATGTATCTGACACTTGCAGAAGAAGAAGGCATAGCAAGATAGAGACAGCTCTCCAAAGATTGGATTGATCGACCTAGGATGAGGCCCACCTTGATTGGCTTCAAGAGAGCTGGCAACTAGCATTCAAAGCCATCCGCACAGCCGATCTTAGAGGCATCGAGGAACCACACTCGATCAAAGACCAGAAAAGGACCAAGGGCTCTGCAATCACAACATGGGCCGAGTGGTGGCACCAAGTGCTGCGCTCTTCCCTTGCCTACAAAACCGCACTCACCAAGCCGCCTGATGGGAGGCCACACCCCATGTTCCTCGTCAGGCAATTCACAGCTAAGTTCTCCCACTAAACACTGTACATTTATACTGGGTCATCACCGGACATGCATTTGTAGGCACAAACACACAACGGTTCTTTCCCCAACACACACCAGAACAAGTGGCTTGCCCCTGTGGCAAGCCCGTCCAAACCATAGAACATGTATTGCTCAACTGCCCCATTCACACCACCACGCGCCGCCAGCATCTCACTGCACAGTGGCCATCCCAAAACCTCTCTCAACTCTTCAACCACCCGAAGCGCATTAACATGCTGCTACAATTCATGGAGGAAACTGGCACCTGTGCAAAGCCATGCACAGTGTGGGAGCTGGGATGAGTGGCATCAGAAGAACAATTGGAGACTGGGGTCAGGACAGACATACTGTACGACCCACATGACCACCCTACACTACACCCTACTGTTGTCCATAACCAGCTATCCCTGGTTCATCTCATTACCATACATGCCTAAGCATAATACGTACCCCTACGTGACCGCCTCCGTGCTCCTTTGTACGCGCTGCGGAATATAAATCTGGAAAAGACCCAGGATGAGGCTCGGAATCTGCCACTGAACTTGAAATGCGCTCCATGATGGTTTCTAAGCTTTCAAAGTGTTCTGTCTGAGCAAAAATGGCAGTTTTAGGACTAGCTCAGCTTTTCCCAGATTCTGAGTCTTGGGATTACGCAATTGATCTCCTAGAGCACTATACGATTGGACTCAACTTATATAAGGTCTGCCCGTTGACGCAACATGACCATGATGCTCACGACAAATTCTCAAATGGATTGTATTCCAATTGCCCGTCTAATTCCATGAAATGGATAGCAAGGTGTGCCTAGTTCAAGATTGTCGCCGACTGAATACAAGAATGAACTGGAAGAAGAATAGGTACTCCAACGCTTAGAGATTTGGAGTGCACAAAAGCGAACACAAGGCGTGTAACCAGTAGCTATGTACTGAAATATTCTCAGGCGGTCTCCGAAATCCCTGCCTTCGATGACGGGTGAGGAAGGTCTATAAAGGCAAGATTTGTCCTGAACAAATAAGGTGATAGCTCGGTATTAACACTCTCAGACGAAGATTGTGCTAGGTGAAATACTTCTGTAGCGCCTCAGGGAGCAACGAAATTATATTACAACTAAGAGTACATTTAAATTCCCAGTGAAGCATGTCGATCGGTAGTAGTAGCACATGGAGACAAAACTCATTGAATCGATTTTGCGGTCAACGCGGAACGGCGTCAACACAGACTTCCTGATGCCACTCAGAAAAAATGACGAGATGATTAAACCAGAAAACTCACATAATCCTCATCCTCAAACCACCAGCGGCCAAACCAGGGGCCCTGGATACCCTCACGCTGGCACTGGCAAACTTCTTCCGGATTGACCTCGTCTTCCGTAGATCCCCTGTTGCCACTTCTCTCCTCGCTTTCTTCAAAGTTATCCAGTTGTGCTTCGCCATGAAGACCTCCGCGGAGACCACGCTCAGGCCCACCAATGGCCTCCCATTCCCTAAACATGCTGTCCCTGTACTCCGTTACATCTGTTGTCTCCCCGAGGCCCTCAAGCTTCATGACGTTGTTCCTCAAAACTTGCGCTTCTTCGACCTTGGCTGCGTGCACTGGTTTCCATGCGATACGTTCATCAATGCTTGCCAGGAACCTGGGCAGGTTGGCCGGATTTTCTCTGACAATATCCTCTCTTGTTATTTTTCGAACCTCGGTGCGTTTCCTTTCGCTCTCCCACCACTGGCCAGATGGCAAATATGTCATATCGTGGGAATACGCACAACGACCAAAGCAGTAACCGAGTAGAAATAGCACACAGACGTTGCGCCCGCTGGCCAGCGTGCAAAGTCAGCGATCCCCTGCGCAGACGAGAGGGTTGAAGAAAAGACGTAAAGGGTTAGCGGATCAACGCACCAATACCAGCCGCAGCAATCTTGAGGCTGCCCCTTGCGTGCTTGGCCGCGACGAAAGCGTGCATTGGTGAACTTTGGATCAAGGAAGAGAGCGCGACTGGCACATTGCTCCGCAGCATCATATCTGCGGGTAATCTCGCATGTCATTGAGTAGCGTATGCATGACGTGGGTAAAACTCACTCTTCAAGCTTCAACCATGCAGCAGCCATGTTCGCAAAGTACTTAGCGGTGGGCCCATTGACCTTGATAGCGACTTCGTATTCCGCGATAGCCTCGCGTAATTCTCCCTTGCGGAAGTGCGCATTTCCCTGAGAATGTCCATCAGATAGTGCACAAGCCTGAAATAACGCCGCATACAGCTTTGTGGTGTTCTTCTGCCTTAACACCCCTGGCCTTTGCGCGTTCTGCGCGCTTATCGGCCCTCGCCTTTAATATCTTCGCCTTTTCGGCGAATGTTTTACTGGTAGTGGCCCCAGCCGTGTGTTGACGGCTGGAAGATAACAGCATTAGGGGGAGTTGGCACTAACCTCGCGCGATCATCTAACATGTATATTATGACGTCATTACCCCTATTTTCTGTGTCACTGTTACGCTGACACGTGATTGACACGATCGCGGTCTCGTGATGCGGGGGAAACCGTTGAATTTGATATTTCCCAATTCCATATATTTGCTTCCAGTCGCGTGCGCGCTGTTATCCCGACGCCAATGTCCTTCATTAGTCCAGAGGATCGCGCATATATGTCACCTTCCTCGTCACCGGGGGGGTCTCCATCCACTTCCTCCGTTTTTGACTCTTCTCCCCTTTCATCGCCGTCCCTCCAACCTCTTGATCTCAACCGCCCAACAACGCCGCCGGGCATAATCCATCCATTTGCTGGATCCACACACGCTACAAAGCATCCTTCTAATGAGCTTCGCTATTCCAACTCATCCTACGCTCCCGCCAGCTGGGCATATAGACCCGGTGTCTCGTCTTCTGCAGACCACTCCAATGTGCTGGAAGATATATTTCGCGAAGAAGAGGACTTCTCACAATCAGAATTCGAGCTAGGACCTCGAGATGAAGCAACCTTGTGGGAGGAGAAAATTGCACGAGCGGTCGACACGGGCGAGGCTGAATTCACTTGGAAGTACGCATGACCACCCTATCTCCAGAATAAAAGTCAACGCACTCACAAAGGTCTAAGAGACGCAGGGCTTACCTTTGTTCCTCCATCCGTTGTGGAACTCAACAGCCTTGGCCTCGTCGCTGAGCCAACGCAGCGCCCTTTTAAGCGCATACAAACCGCACCGCCAGCAGTATTCTCGTCTTCACATAGATCCCTCTTTTCACGTCCCATTGCCCCCAACATGACCCAATCCCAGGGTCTCATGATCTTCCTCGCAAACAACGAAATCAAAACACTTCCCTCGGAGTTCTTCAGATTGAGCAACCTGACCGTACTCTCTCTCCGTGCGTGCTTGCTGGCCTCGCTAATTTTCTGGACGTGCTGATAGCCGTGAGGGCAGGAAACAACAGCCTCGAGTTCCTCCCGCCAGAAATCGGGCAGTTACACGCGCTCAAGGACCTCGACGTAGTCAACAATAACCTGCGCTTCCTCCCCGCAGAGATGACCACGATGACTTTCACCAATCTCAAGGTCCACACAAACCCATGGCACCCAGACCCCGCCAACCCCGCGTCCCGCGACGTGCCCGATACCATTGACGCCGCGACGCACGCGCATTTCCGCGTCCCTCCACTGCGCGAAGTGATCCTGCGCTATCTTCTCACGCCATCGTCCACGAACCAGCGCATGTTGGCACCATACCCGGCGGCGGCTATGACGACGACGACTGTACGCACGCGACACCAACCGACGACCCTCGAGGATCGTTTCCAGCTTCCACTCCAAGACGGCGCGCTCTCCCCCGCTGACGCAGCGCTCTTCGCGCGCGTCGCACCAGCCGCGGTATCCGCCCCACGGCGACACGCCTTTTCGCGTGCCACGACGACGAGCGCGAGTGCCGGCACGGGGATGTTTTCCTCTGCTCATGTTAAGGCGGAAAAGGTGCCTGGGTCTCGTGCTGCGAATGCAGCAGCTGGCGCTGCGCAGGAACAAAAATGCTGCGGACGTTGTCCGTCTCCACGGCATATTGGTACTACATCCGCACCCGCACCTCCAGAGGCGTCGCCTGTCGGGTTCGGGGCGGCAACGGCGTGGGCACGACTTGGCCCGCCATTCGTGCTGCCCGCGGAGGAGCGATATACATGGGTGACCGAGATTGCTGGCGTGCGTGTCGGTGAGACGACGGGCGGGGTGCCGTTGTTCTGGCGTGGGTGTGGGCGAGGATGTCTGGGATTTTTGGACTCGGCTGGCGTTACTCCGGCATCAGACCAGGAAAAATATTGACTGCCAGTGCACGGCTCCGGTGTTATGTCGAGGTTGTGGTGTGGTGCGATGCGATCGTGGTGAGCGCGTGCGTGTACGTGGCCCGATCCGCTGGGTACATATTGTATGGATAGAAGCAAATCAGCTGCAAATGTAACATAGATCATAGTACGCTTGGCGATGTCAGGCACGATTCGTTCCCTATTCTCAGACGACGATCATCTTTTGACAGGAATTCGAGGTCCGAGTCGTTGGTTGTCATTAAGATCGAGAGAAATAAGAGCGACGAGAAAAGATAACAAAAAAAGTGGGGAAATAAAAATGCCAACTAGCCGGTTTGAACGACTGACCTCGTCATGCAGATTCTTTAATGGATGATCAAGAATATACAAGTGACGCGCTCTACCACTGAGCTAAGCAGGCCTGGAATATCGAGTGACCTTTATCCCGCCTTGACATTCTTGGTCTTCTCAAAACACAACCTATTGTTGCGATCACCTCTTTAATTACCCTCTAACATTGTTCTTTAATACCTAATCGAACGGCTTGGCATAACTCGGAGACCTGCTTCTTCGGCCAACCGCCGTGACATAGTCGTCCCCATACTATCAGGCATCTGGGTCGTGTGCTACAGTGTACTGCATTGCAGGTCCCTTTGAGTATTTGATTCATTTTCCATTTTCGACGTGGGACGATCATCTCTCATAACTTTTTTACTTTTTTGATTCTTTCCGAACCCCGTCAATACGCTCGTATGGAAAGCGATGCAATTGTGATGAGTATGTGATATCTTTCGGGAACGTCGCTCGCAGCAACTGCGCCGTGCCCGAGTCGCCAGTAGGGGAGAGGTGAGGATATCGTCTCAGGTACGTCTTGTGAGTTCTTCTCTATTATAACTAAGAAACCGAACCCACTAGGAACCCACCAGAATTTGCAGCAGCCTCATGGCGTTGTAAACCTACAGTGTCCGGGTGTCCGGCGCCTCATGAAGGTTTTTCGGCGACATTCCATACCACAAAAAATACAGCACTAGGGGTTTACACTATAGTGCTCTGCATGAGCAAGCGAACGTGGCTCATCCACTTGGTTTGCGCCAAGATACTTGTCAGCACTCGTTCGTTACCTCCGCACGCACCACCACACGTCAGTCATACATAATTTTCGTTTCTTTGGCTAAGCAGCCTTTAACACCATTGAGCCAGCCTGGGATGGATGTGTGGATATATGATTCAATTCCATAAAAAATTATCCGCTGGAGGTGGTGTTGGATCACGGAGGCAGTAATGAGCTAACTGGTTTGCGCGGCAACTTGCCAACCTCTACCTGCCGATGCTAATAGATCGACTTGATCTTGTCCTACCGTCATCCTCCCTCGTCGCTCTTGTCTGCATTGTTGCCATCAGCGACATCCTCTGTCATGCGGGATCAACCCTATTTGAATCATCGAGTCCGAGTCAGTCATAACACGACTAAATAATTCCCATCGGAATCACTTTTGTTAAGTCGTCACCATATTATCTGTACCACATCAAATCTCCACAACCAAGAAGTGACGGCACTAAGATCGACCTGTGTGGTTACATAGGATATTTATGCTGTTATTCAGTATCTACAATTTGACGTCCCCTATTTTTCAGGGTTGTCTGTAGTACATCAACTAGAAGCTCATACAAAATCCTTCAACATTTAAATTTCAAGAAGTTGAAGACGGCAACGACTCAGATACGACGGTGTCGTGGAGGATGTACGTATGACGAAATGAGAAACGACCGATGCCAAGAAATATGCGATGCGAGATGAGCCGTAAGGAAGTCTCTGGTCGTGCAGATCGGCAAGTTGTGAAGAGATTATGGACGCGGGTGAAAGTATTATGAGCAAGATTATGAGGTAACGCAAAAGTACGAGTGCGCCAGTGAGCAATGCATGTGAGAAGACTCATAAGGAATCTCCTGGTCGTGCAGATCGTAGGGTTTGTCCAATGGTTTATCGTCGTCGGACCCACGCTCCGGCCGTTCCACTAGCAATTTTAGGCGATGTGGGTGAGCTGTAGAAGAGAGGTGCAAATTGGTCTTCTGGGGATCCAAGGCTTTATCAAGCGCGTCACAGGCCCAGGAACGGTCGTTTTCCCCGAGGGCTGCGGTAGTTGGGCTTCGTAAGAGCTCCTTCAGTTTTGACATTGTCTCCGGTTTCCCACCAAACCCATGCAACATGTCTGAAGTTTCGGGCATGATCATTCCCCACATTTCTTGCATTGGCGTCCCCAGTTCGACGAACTTCTGTTTTAGTGCACTGAATGACTCCTCGTCGAGAGTTACTTATTCTACAAACCGGGTCATTTTTAATTTTCGGCGTTGGACACGGTAAACGACTCACTATCAATGGCGCAAAGGACACAGAAGCAAAGCACTGCCATTTTTCTCATCTCTTCATCGGTAGCGTTGATCATGTTGATCAGACAATTTATGAGCGTTTTCGTGAACTTCCGATCCAAAAAGTGTGGGGAGGAAAAGACAGAAAGGCGTAGGATATAGTCTTGGACATGGTTGTATTCCACAGCAATTGAGAGAAGTAAACGGAGTCGAACAGGCGCGGAATGGTGACGCTCAGTGAAAAATTCATTGAACATTCTGATAAGTGCGCGTTTGATCTCAAGAAAGGCATGTTCTATTCGCTTGCTTAGTACAGAACTTTGTGAGCTCAGAACAATCCTTACTGGATTTGGTTTTGTGAAGTAACCGGACCGCCCTCTGAAGAGAAGAGGTAGGAGTTAAATCTGGTTGCAACTTATTTCTCTACAGTGGAAAGAATTGCCCTCCATAGTTCGATGTTACTGTCGTATAGGTCGAGCCCTAAAACATGTTAAAATCACTCATACTAGCAGAAGAAGTCCTTTACCGGCACGCCACAACACTTCGTACGCAACCCGAATAGCCAAATCAGTAAACTCGGCGTACTTTGTATCGGTACAGACTTGATGAAGCATTGAAGAAAATTGGGGCATATTGTTCCGTCTAATTGTCAGCTTGCCATCGTCTGAAAAATCTCGTAAGAGAAATAAACAGAACATAAAATCCGACTGCATACCCGTGTAAGCTAACACTTCCAGACGCTCCAAAAAATCAGTCACATTTGTGCCTCTGAGCACGCCTGCGATCAGAGCGGGAATTGCGTCGCAATCCAGGAGATCTAACTCAATTGCGCCAGCTGGGAGTGTCAATTCGACCAGGATGTCCCCAGCGTCTGTCATGTCTGGATGGACTGTCGGTTCTGTGATTTCCTCCGCTGTATGGTTCTCACTCGTATCCAAGCTCGTGTTACCACCTTGACTTGACGCGGGATCTGTTAAACTGATAAAAAGAATGGGTCGGTCGAGAACGCCGTGGCGAGGGAGCAGCTGGGGAGACGAGAGGTGGAATGAGGGAAACAAACTGGATGCGATATTCGGAAGATACAAGCGAGTATTTATACAAGATAGCTACATATTTAGGAACAACATAGATAAAGAGTTGTACAGAGAAAAGGGTTCGAAACGCGATAGGATTTGAGGGGCTAGTATAGGAATGAAGGGGGTGTACCCCTAATGAAATTTCGGATGGGTCGGATGGTTCGGATTTGTCGCGCTTGCTCCGAAAGTCTTCGGGACTCAAACTCCAACAGGATCCGTTTGCATTTGAAGACCAATTGAACTTGTGCGTGATGCCATAGATTGCGATCGGCTCAACGGTCGGCTGCCTGCCTGTCTCACAGTGTTACGGATAGGCGTCCTGTCTTCGGTCACAATACTTGAGGTTCGGCTTGGGCTAGGCATCGAGAATAATTCGGGTGCAGGGAGAACCATCGAACCGTTTCTGGATGCACTGGCAGCCTGGTCCTTCATATCTTCCTCTTTATCGCGAAGCAGGTTGATAACCTCCGTCCACCCGTATCGCTTCCCAGATTTATTGATCCATGAATCGGGAAGGTACGCAAAAGGATTTTCTGGAAATTTGCCCTTGTGTGGGCATACGGACGAGTGCAGTTTCTGGTGATCGAATATCTGCCTGGGACGTTTGCAATGCGAGGTTCTGAGTAGCCTTTTTAGAAATAGCTGGGTACGAAAGGAAAGAAACACTTACCGTGAGAAACGACGCGATGGCGGTTCTTCACTTGTCAGAAGCGGAGGATGACTCTCGGAATGGACCTCCCATTTGATTAGGGGATATACATGTTCCAACAGCTTGTAATGGAATTTCATAGAATCCTTGCCAGCATTTGGCTCCAGATCTTTCACTCGGATTCCGCCCCAAAAGGGTGTCATCTCGAGGCCGGCTAGCATAGCTTCGTACGCCATCCATCTGCTAGGGATAGCTCCGTTGTCAGATGTCTTATTTTTTACGCTCCCCCCGCCACTGTATGCCAGTCTGTATCATGATTTGTCCGCAACACAAAGTGCGTAGGCACTCACACATCAGAATGGGACCCTCTGAACCAAACCTCTTTGCATCTTGGCCTACCAAATTCGCCAGCTGAAAACCACTCTTTCTTCGCGACAATATATTCGGGTAAGAACTTTACCCTTCTCTCGTCAAGAGCTAGGGCATGACGAAAGAAACAGATGTTTTCGGCTAGTTCTGCTCCTGGATAATATTTGTTACGAAAAAGGCCAACGGAGGAAACGGTGTCCCTTAAAACACTGTAGAGTCAGAGAAGAATAAGGGTTACAAAAAAACATTGCGTACCAAACCCCGACGAAATGTATATTGACGTCGTGGCAAAAGGCCTTTTTAAACTCCTTCGCAGTGGTAGTTTTTCTCGTTCGGGGTGATTACTGTTTTGTGCATTAGCAAAACAACTAATATGCAATGTAGAAATATTTGCCTATCTATCTCTATTTCCTTCGAAGCTTCAGGATCCATGTAATTTTTGAAGGCACTGTTGATCAGAGGCAGTTTAGCTTGACGAACGTGCAGGACTAACTTGACTCTCACAATTGGATCTGCTCATTATTGCCAGTACAAAGTAAACCGACCTGTGCGGTGATAAATTCCTCGGAGAAGTTCAGTGGGCGTGAAGGAGTACCTGTCTGATCATAGCAGATAGAACCCTCGCCTGGTATGCTCCTCGAGAAAACCCTGGAAATTTTGGAAACCACATTAGTCACGTCAAACATCACTTCTCCGTGTAAGAATGATCTACCTAGTAAGAATATTTGATCCCCCGTCTCATACTTATCAGAGAGAAATCGGTATTATGATAAAAGGTTCGAGTTGAAGTTACTTCGAGAGGGGAACAAATGAATCACCTCAGTAAGGGATTGGAGAACAAATGTAGCGACTTACCGGGCCGCCACCGAGGCCCATTTGTTCTTGATACACATGCGCAGACGTCTTGTGGATGACGAAGGCGTTACGAATGTTCCGATTCCACTCGTATAATAAGCAAGC